CACTGTTGATACTAAAATGTTATCTTTTTAGATTTAACTATGGATTCAGATAAACGTGAATTGTTTGTTGTTCCGAAGAATCCAACTGCAGATGTTCAATCATCCAATACATGTAAAGTGTGTGGAGACAAGACTACAATTATGTATTTAGGTATTTCGTGTTGTTCTTCATGTAAAATGTTTTTTCGCCGAAATGTAGATCTTAATGTGGTAAGTCGATGTTATTTTTCAAAATCTGTTTCAGTAATTAATTTTTGTGTTGTGTAGGATACTCAGCATTGTGTATTTACTGGAAATTGTGATATAAATGTAAATAGTCGCGGAGCATGTCGATATTGTCGATTGAAAAAATGTTTTTCTGTTGGCTTACAAAAAGATTTGCTTCGTAGTTCATTTACTGCTCACAACTATGGTGGAATAACAAAAAAACAAAAAACTTCAACGAATGAAACAACAGTTGCTCTTCCAACTGTTATTCCAACACTTGATTTGTTAATTAATGATCGATCATTATTATCTTTTGATCAATGGTGTTTGCTGTCGAATGTTACTCATTCTTATGATGATCAATCTCCAATATTAGCTATACAGAATAAGATGGCATCTCAGTTGAATTATCCAGCAAAAATACGAATGAAAATGGCAACGGATTATTTCAAGTATATTGCTAGTTCATTATATCTTAGTGCAGGTCCATTTTTTAAAACAATGCCTGAAGTTGTGCATATGTCAACCAGTGATCAAGGTATTCTCATCGAACGAAATATTCGTAGTATGAGTGGTTTTGGTGCTATACTGGTATTGCGTGAAACTGATCTTTGTCAAAATCCTTACTATCACAATGCTTCTATGGCAGTTTATGGACATGAACTTACTCATCAAGCAATGAAAATTGTCCAACATGCAGATACTGATGGAATATTAATCAAACTCATGGTACCTATTTTAGCTTTGTCAACATGTTCGGATATTATTGATCCGAACTATCATGAGAGTGTTGGTGAGTATAAATCATAATTGAAGTGTTTCGAGGATTTGTATAAATTTGAATTGGTAGTATGTTTACGATATTTTTCTTCATCTAGTATTAATTTGCTGCTTCATGTAGATGGAATATTCACATTTATCTACTTGAAACTAAAACAATATTATAAAATATGGAAATGCGATCTATGTTCAAATCGAAAATGAGATTTTTTCCTATAGTTTTTGAAAAAAACTGAGTGTCTTTTTTGAGGATAAAAGATGAGAGAGAAGTTTTTACGTTATATTTTGTTATGATATACTTTTATATTTAGGTAGCACTTTATCGCCAGGAGGAACTCGTCTTTTTCCAAATACTTTACATCTTTTGATACTTCAAAATATTTATGTTGAAATGATGTTCAAATATATGTTATATCGATATGGTTTTAAAGAAGCAGTTTTAAGATTTGCAAGGCTTATTAAGACTTGTCTTGATCAAAATCTAATGGTCTGTGATGGTGAGGATCTTCGACAACATGATGAAATGGTACATTCAATTACTGAACAAACGGAACGATTGTTAGTATAGGATGGTGAAAACAACAAGTGGTATTTACAGTGATATCCAGCATGATGTATTGTTATAGTGTGAAAAGTTCTCCTGTCGTTTTTGTTTATCATTTGACAACGACAATCATTGTTATTGTATATTGTTCTTTTCTTTTCGTTGTACTTATGTAAACCATTCTCAGACTATTTTTGTTACGTTTTTTGTGTTTTTTTTCGTTCTTTATTACACAATTAAACCAGCTTATAGCTAGAACATTCATCAAGATTTTAAGTAAAAAACAATATATAGTTTATATGTACTAGACTCAAAAATCATTACTTCAGTAAATGTCTATAGACAAGCTTGATAATTTTTTAATAGATTTTAAATCTAATATGTCCTGATTCTACTGTTTTGGTGTAATATTATGGGTGCAAAAGCGGTTCTAACCGTGTGTCAGTTTCTAGGTAGACATTTGTACAAAAAAGTTCAAGATTCTTTTCGTCATGTATTGGAAAATGCTTATTTTATTCTGAACTATATTTTTTCCTTTTCTTGTTTATTTTATTTTTATTTCTCTTCTATTTGATACAAAATTGAAGAAAACAGTGTTCAATATGATTTTCAGTGCTTTTAAATCAAGTTGTTCAAGAATAATTACTTCAATGAAACTATTTTTTTAATAAATAAATTTTTTTGCTTTCTCGTTTATGCATAACGAGCTAAAACGTCGTGCACATGGTTTCTTTTTTTCGTTAAGGTGAAAAGAAACGAAAATCTATGCATCAGTGATCACCATGTAAAAAAATAGATATAAACATTTCTTTTTATATTCGTTTATATTCATCACTCATATAATCAATTGCCCATTTTATCACAATCATTCTCACAGATTTTTTAAGGATACGTAAGTATGATCATAATATTTTTATTTAATATATATCCTACTTAAATGAAACGAAAACTATCCGCTGATTATTAAGGAATATATAAAAGAAAAGGATGATTTTTTAACCTATTTCTTTATTGATAATTTTTACCGATAGAGAATACTAATAATCGATTCACTAAACATTAATATTTATACACTCAAAGTAACTTCAGAATTTTAACCGTTCCCCGAAATATATGACTTGAAAAGTGTATAGTCGTAGAGATTTTTCACAATATAAATGCACAAAGTTTTCATTTAGACAGTTCAATATTATTTGCACATTATATCCTAGAATATTTCGTATTTATTTCGTCCGCATTTAATAATTCTAAATACCCACCATCGTTACTAAAGGATCGCTCAGTATGAACGCGAACGAAAGCACTAGTCTTATGACAGCAACAGATCATAAGGAAGAAGTTGCTGTAGAAGAGCCTGATATAAAACTTGCTGAAATGGGTTACAAAGCTGAATTGCCACGCTCATTATCCTTCTTTTCTGTACTTGGGCTTTCATTTGCAATTATGGCTGTACCTGCTGGTGAATCAGTAACACTTAATATTGGCCTCACCGATGGTGGTCCAGTAACTATTCTCTATGGTTGGATATTAGTTACTATCATTTCAATATGTATTGCTGCAAGTTTAGCTGAAATTTGCTCAAAATATCCGACTTCCGGAGGTGTTTATTATTGGTCTGCAATGTTAGCAAATAAAAAATGGGCGCCTATTACTTCTTGGATAACAGGATGGTTAAATCTTGTCGGAAATTGGACACTGACAACTGCCATCTGTTTTGCTTGTGGGCAATTAATATTATCGGGTATTGGATTATGGGATGAAACCTATATTCCAGCAACTTGGCATGTTGTATTAATGTCTTGGACTGTACTACTTATTTCCTTGTTTATAAATATTTTCGCTGCAAAACACTTGGATTTCATTAATATTATTTGTGTTTATTGGACAGGTGTATCAATTTTGATTATTGTCATTAGTGTATTAATAATGGCAAAAGGAGGAAGAAGAAGTGCAACATATGTCTTTACAGGATTTGATGCAACAAGCGCTGGTTGGCCACCCGTATGGGCATTTTTTGTAGGATTATTACAGTCTGCTTATACTCTCACTGGTTATGGTATGTTAGCATCAATGTGCGAAGAAGTACAAAACCCAGAACAAGAAGTACCAAAAGCGATGGTATATTCTGTTGTTGCTGCTGGAATTACTGGCATTATTTATATTATTCCTATTCTTTTTGTCATGCCCAGTATCAGTAAACTACTCAGTATACCAACTGGTCAACCAATTGGTTATCTCTTTATGGCAGCTACAGGTTCTACTGTTGGTGGACTTGGTCTTTTAAGTCTTATTATTGGTATTCAATTTTTTGCTGCAATTGGCTCTTTAACAGCTACTTCTCGATGTCTTTATGCATTTAGTCGAGATGGTGCAGTACCCGCTTCAAAATTTTGGTCAAGAATCAATAAACAATATGGTATTCCACTCTATGCTTTATTACTTTCAACTGTTATTCAAGGTCTACTTGTTTTTATTTATTTTGGTTCATCAGCTGCATTTAATGCATTTACTGGAGTTTCTACAATATGTCTTTCTGCTTCATATGGATTACCTATCGTAATACTTGTTTTTCGAGGACGTCATTTAGTTAATAATGCTCCTTTTTCTCTTGGTAAGTTTGGCTACGTTATTAATATCGTTACAATTCTGTGGATTTTATTGGCTATGGTGATATTTTCAATGCCAACATCTATACCTGTGACAGCTTCGACAATGAATTATGCAAGTGTCTTATTCATTTTCTTTGCCGGAATTAGCATCTTATGGTATATTGTTTGGGGAAGAGAACATTTCCATGGTCCACCAGTGACTTCTTCGGATTAGTTTTGATACGAAAGCATTGTGTGAATAAATAAAAGTGTAATGTTAAATATAGTTAAGTAATTAGCATGAGCTTTACAGCGATGATGAGTACAATGATTTATAATATTTTGCTAAGCAACCAGTATAAAATGGTAGGGTGAGGATGTAACTGTTAAAAACGACGCATATCCATACTCTCAATTTGTAATTTTTTTTTAAATAAGCTTATACTATTTCAAGTGCGTTGTTTAAGTACGTTCCTCCCCCGTTGACAAATAACTGACAGATTTCTACAATAATTATATGTAATGATTATATAAAACATGAAGAGTGAATGTAAAAGATAAATATAACATCTATATTCACACTATTGCATAGTCATTTTTTTCATGCTTTTGAAAAGAAAGAGAGAAGTCACCGATCATTGATATACCTTGGCAAATAGTGTCAAGAATGAAAGTGGTGTGCGACCTTATCAAACTCTGTCAGTATCTTTGTTTACTACAATGTGCATCTAAAAGATAATATAAATTATTATATCATATATTTATGGGCATTATATTTTTTTATAAAAGCGCACATATACGACCATATCTACTATTTAGAGTAGTCGGTTATTCAGAAGAAAGTAGAGAAGTATTTGTAAACAATACAATAAATTACAATTATGAATCTTAAAGTATACAAAGTGGATGCATTTACTGATCGATTGTTTAGCGGCAATCCAGCGGCTGTATGTCCATTAGATCAATGGTTACCTGATTCATTAATGCAAAAGATTGCTGCTGAAAATAATCTTTCTGAAACGGCATTTTTTGTACCGAACGTCAACAATGATGGATATGAACTTCGTTGGTTTACACCTGAAGTGGAAGTAGATCTTTGTGGACATGCAGCATTAGCGACCGCTCATATCATTTTCACGGAAATGTCATTTATGAATGATGAAATCAAATTTCAAACCAAGCAAGCTGGTGAACTTACCGTTACACGTCAAAAACATAGTGCTTTATATACTCTTAATTTTCCAGCTCGTCCAGCAGTTAAAATTGATTTACCCGATGGACTGCTATCTGCCTTGGGTAGTGATGTATCGCCCGTGGAAGTTTATAAATCAAGAGACCATATGCTTGTTTACGAAAAGGAATCTGATGTTCAAAAATTGTCACCGAATTTTATGGCTTTAGCCAAAATTGATACCATATTTGCTGTGATTATTACTGCTCCTGGTGACAAAGTCGATTTTGTTTCGCGACTCTTCGCACCAATTGCCGGCATCTCTGAAGATCCTGTTTGTGGATCAGCACATTGCAGTTTAACTCCTTATTGGGCTGAACGATTGGGCAAGAATCAATTACACGCGTACCAAATATCGGCACGTAGAGGTGAACTTTGGTGTGAAAACAAAGGTGATAGAATACTAATATCAGGCAATGCAGTTACCTATTTAAAAGGGGAAATAAGCGTCTAAGTTGATACATTAATCTTATAAACGAATAAATTCAATCTTTTTTCGAAGTATTAAAATAAAGAAGAAAACATAATTTATTTACACTAATAAATATATGAATACATCAATTAGTATACAGAGTGTGTGTCTAAATGACACCAATAGCATGTTTAAATAATCAAACAAAAAGTCATTGATCATTTATTTTTATCAAAAAATATAATACAATGAAGCTTTCAGTACCCTTTATAAAATATAATAAAACTAAAAAGTTTATTAGAAATAGAAATAATATTATATAAAATAATTCTTGATCAATGAAACATATTTGCTCTAAATTAGAATAGTTAAACTATCTTGACTTTGAAAAAAAAATTAAAGGTTATATGTTGATAGAAAATGACTATTCAATAGTATTGCTTATATTGTACAGAAATTTATTTTTAATAATTATATTTGATATCTTTTATTAATTTTGACAAAGATTTATTTAAATCAGATTGATAATCAAATTTTAATTTCATACTAATAAGTCGGTATGGTTCAACTCAAAGATGTTTGGCTCATGAATCGATGGTAAGTTGTTCGAATCTATCTTATAGAAAAGGAAAGAAAAAGAATAAAGTATTAACGGTTTTAGATAGGATGATTGCGGTAAGTAATATGCACGGTTTTCAATAGGATGATCGCGGTAAATAATATGAACGGTTTAGAGAAGACTGAGCGAGCAACAGGTGGGGGAGGCAAAATAGAAAGTCTGTAGGTATATGTACAAAAAAAAAGATAATATACATTTTTTTTCCTGAAACGTTTAATACCGCGGTTTGACAAACCAGTGAGAACTGCGGTACTATATATTGCGACATCAAGTGGTTACATCAAACCGCGAAAGTCAGACCTTTTATTAGGTTCTTTGAAACCGTCTTAAACCGCGGCATGTACGATTGCGGTATTATACGGTTTAGCTATGGTCGCGGTTTTCAGAGGTGTTAAGAAACCTAATAAAAGGTCTGACTTTCGCGGTGCTACTAAACCGCTAAGATCAATGTATTCGTATACCGCGATTATCCGCGGTATTGTTTGAAAAATTTTCCCGTGGGTATAGGATCATTTTCAACAGTAATGCTTACGAAGGAAGTTTTTACATATATACAAAGACAACAACTGACTTCTTTTTCTATACTTTTTTAGTATTTTCTTCAGGGTGTAAGATATAGAACGGACACCCAATCAATTGAATCGTCCCCGTGGCTTATCGTTTGATGATGAAGAAAATCTTTACGTTGTTGATTGGGAAAATGATCGGATTCAAAAATTTGAAATAATTCTGTAAATGAAATTTTTTGTTAAATAAAAAATTGAGAAAGAAAAATGAAAGAAAAAGTGTGGCTATATTATTGAAAATCAATGAAAAAAAATCGAATAAATTTTGAAGACAAATAAATTTTTTAATAAGAAAAAAAAGAAGAGAAATCCTTTTGGAGTTTTTTCTTGAAAATTGAATTTAATTCGTCTTGAGGATGTAGGTGTGGTTGTAATATATCTATCCTATATATACTCACTCACACCCAGTCTAAACTTGAACATCTCAGCAAATCGATAATATAGTGTTTTGTTCTCGAAATCAAATTTAATAAATTGACGATTGCGGTTGCATGTAGAGACCTGCGGGACAAACTTTTTTATTGTCCCGTCCCGAATGTCCCGTCCCGAAGTGTATTTTGAATAGTCCCGATCCCGAATGTCCCGTCCCGAAGTTTTTTCGAATAGTCCCGATCCCGAATGTCCCGTCCCGAAGTTTTTCGAATAGTCCCGTCCCGTCCCGTTTGTCCCGATGACAAAAAAAATATAGATGTCACTCTGTCACAGAAAACAACACATCTTCGCCGCAACACCAATAAGCTAAAATACATGCATTTACATGACTTTTGAATGTAAATCAACGTTTCATTCAACATTTCTAATAAGAAATAGACAAGAATCGAAGTATAAGACATAGCTTAGTATACCGATCAAAAACAAATTCGGGACTTCTGATTTTTTTATATTGTCCCGATCCCGAATGTCCCGTCCCGAAGTTTTTCGAATAGTCCCGTCCCGTCCCGCGTGTCCCGTAAAGTTTTCGGGACACGTCCCGATTGTCCCGCGGGACGGGACATTCGGGATTTTTCGGGATTCGGGACTGTCCCGCAGGTCTCTAGTTGCATGACATATTTTATAGATCAACTTTTCTAAATTCCTTGAAGTACTTTCCTCCAATGAATTTCACTCTTAAAGTTATGTCATTTTAGAAAGTAGATTAAGTCTTGGAGCATTGCTTCTATACTTTTTTTTAGTCTATAAAAAAATATCATAGACGCAATAATAATAATCATTTACTATCTAGACAGTTCGATTTACGTCAGTCTGTTTATTAAAATTTTCACAATTTCCTTCATAGATATTATATCTGCAATTTGATTGGCTCATCAAATACTTCTATGACTACTGAGAATAGATTCAACTAGTTTGTCTATACATCGACGAGAGAAATTTTGCAGTTTTTTTTTCATCGCCACTGATAATTAAGAAAAATAAAGGTCAAACTGATTTCTCACACTTATGCTTGTTTACCGTTGTGAAATGCTTTTAAATAGTTTAATTTCAACATAAAATTCGAATTTGTTAAAAGAATTAGAAATATCCAAATCAAGGAGAGTATCCAATAAAAAATACGTTTGAAAGACTAAAAGCATTTAAATCGAAATAGATTGCACATTCAGTAAAGCCGCTTCATTTATCTTTGAAATGTTTTAGTCTGTCATTCTCATTTGATTCTCTCCAGAAATTACGTGGGTAGTTGTTTTAACTATGTCAGTTTCTTAAGAACGCATTTACAACAAAGAAAAAGAAAAGGAAAGAGCATAGAGTAAAAGTAAGAACAAGAGAATAAGTTCTTTTCATCAAACACACTAATTTATTAATTTGAATACCTTTAGGTATTTAGAAAAGAATTTATTATTTTCTTCTTTTTTATCAATTGACGAGAAACAGAAAAGAATCTCTTATTTTCTTCCTTTTATCAATTAAAGAGAAAAGAAATGAAGATGTGAACTATATTTCTTGTCAAACATTAACTTGTTTTTTATCGAACGCATTTTCAATATTATTAAACTATTGCAAAAGACAGAAGAAGAATGTCGGTCGACAATACTTCAATCAAATTTCAATTACCATCATTTGACAAAATTTCGGCTATTACACAAAATCTTTCCTTATATGGTTTCCTTTCCTTATTTATCTTTGGTTTTGTCGGAAATATTAGTAGTCTATTTATGTTTAGTAGAACAAGTTTAAGAAAAGCTTCTACTTCTCTTCTCTTCATATTTCTTGCACTTTCCGATATCGGTTATCTTTTAACATGTATCTACGAATTTATCTATTATGGTTTCAATATTAAAGCTCCAAATGCTGATAGAAATCGTATTAGTGCTCTCTGCCGTTTTCATTCGTATTTTCAAACAACGTTCATGTGTCTATCATCGTGGCTTCTAGTCGCAATATCAGCCGATCGTTCAATACGAATTATGTTTCCTTTCAAAGTCAAAACTCTATGTACACGACGTCATGCAACATATGTTGCTACAATAATTCTTCTAACTTTCCTCGCTCTTAATGCTCATCATTTGACAGAAGGATTCGGAACAAATCAAGGTCAATTTGTCTTTTGTTATGCAGACTTTCGAAATACTCAATACCTTTATTTCTATGGTTATCAATGGCCTATAATTCTATCAGTTTTTCAAATCTTCTTGCCTGCTTTATGCATCCTTTTATTCTCATTTCTAATCTATAAAAATCGTCAACGCGCATCTACTGTTATTATCAGCGTACATCGAAGATTTTTGGAAGTTCAATTATTAAGATTGATGATCTCAAGTAGTCTTCTATTTCTTCTGACAACGTTTCCATTAGGTTTATGGAATACAATTGGACCAAGATTTTTGACTTTTGTAACAATTGAACAAATACATACATATATTTCAATACTCTATTTTATTCAATCAATTAATTATTCAATCAATTTCTATGTTTATGTTTGTTCAAGTAAATTTTTTAGAAAAAATTTTTTACGAATATTACATTTCAGTCTTGGTCAAAAAATACATCCAGTTGTACAGGTTAAGCCGATTGCAGCAGCAAGGCTAGATAGACAAATAATGGCTGTTCAACTCAATCAATTACAAAAATGAGAACAATAACTAGTAATAAATGTGAATTATTGCAGCATAGGACGCCACAAATAGCTTGTCTCGTTCTATTTCAATATTTTTTGCCCAAATTAAAAAATTCAATGATGTTGTGTAGCTTTTCTTCTTTCGCTTTTTTTTTGAATATTCGACTAAAAGTAATGTTTTGTTTTCTGTATCGATGTTCTCGTGTAACTGTCAGTATTAATTGATGTATTTATATTTTATCAAATTTTTCAATAGATGTCTTTGTAATACCATTTAGGAGGTGTGGGTATAGGTATTCTTCTCATTCATCTACAATGACGTGCTGTCAGGACTTTTAATCAATGATGGCTTTACACGAAGAAAATTATTCTTTATGGATAAATTCGTAATTGAAATAGTTCTAAAGGTGTAGCAGTTGTATTTATATACATATTTAATGAGAATTTAGCCAGACTATCAGAAACTGTTCGCTCAGCCGATTGATAAAATGTATTTGGTGCTTGAAAGGTAAGTCTACGCCTATTTTGAAAGTTTTATACGTCTGAAGTGTTAGATTCCCGATTTTGTTAAAAAACAAGAATGAATGCAGCGAAAATAACATTACTAAATTGACTTTTTTTATTTTCTTGTTTTTATTATTACGGTCACTATAATAGTATCTCAGTCTTTCTGTTCAGTCACGCTTGAATATGAAAAATCTCGAATGTAATATAACTAATCTTTAGAGTGAAAATTGATTATCTATAAAAATAGTTCTCTTATTTTCGAGAATTTCTATGGTTTATATTTGAAACTTTTGTTGGG